GGGGCCTCCAAGGAGTCTGCCTGCCTCCTCCCACTCAGTCACCCTATAGCTGGGGGGAGGCAGCTGGTGGACCATTTGGGGCAGTGTGGAGCCTGCGGACGCCTGAGCCACCGTGTCTCTCCCAGGAGAGACACGTGGCTAGGGTGCACTGCAGGCCCCACAGTGAGTGCTGCCCAGCATTTTGTCACCCCCCTCAGTGGTGACACCCGTGGGGGCCCGCCCCCACCACACCCCCTCTTCCTCTGCCCCTGTAACAGAGGTCTTGGAGGCTCTCATATAATACACACTGAGGGAAGACAGAGGTTTCCATGAGATGACCATCCAAATTTGATATAGATGCCCTGTACAAGGATGGATACATTGCGTCTAACAGTAACTAAGGTGTAGTGGCACTGAGTGGCCAGCACTGATGAAACAGCAAGGACCAGCAAGATGAACAGGGAAGAGAGGATGAGACACTTTTGTGGGGGGGGGGGATGGAAGGGGAGTACACAGGTCTGAAGTGGCTCAGGTCAGACCTATATGGTTCTTTACCTGAAGCGGCACTCAGGGTACCATTTTTTCCTTGTTTAACTGTAGATTTCATCTTGAGTCTGGAGAGAAGTACTGGAGAGAAGTGAGCTAAAATGTGCAATTTCCAGGAGACAATTAGCAGGTGAAGGAAGACTTAACCACTCTCTCTTCCAGCCCGCCAATATAGCCCTGCCCAAACATTAGCATTACAAAGACTCCTGGGCTGGTTTTGTAAACTAAATTCCATGGTGAATCAGAATCCTCTTCCCCCAGCAATTACAGTAAGCGAGTAAAATGGTCACATTCCAGCAAGGCCAAAGCACTCAAGGGCAGTGTGGAATATGGCTGGTGAATGGCAGGGCCTGAGGAGAATCCCAAAGCCTAGAGAGAAAGAGGCCTGGATGTGCCTGAGGTTTTTCCCCTCAACCCTCTAGAGTCTCCCAGCTGGAGTTCCTTTAACCAGAGACAAGGGAATGTTATGCATGCAGATGCCACGTTGTACCACTGAGCTGCAGCCCCTTCTCTTTAGGCATAACACCAAACCCAGAGGCGGTTTTCTCCCATTGATAGTGGCAGGACCCAGAGCAAATAATTATGAATTAACAATCGTCGTTGAGCACCGGAAGAAAATGCGCCACCATTTCAATGTTCAGACACTGATCTAGTTTCCAGGCCTTGTCTGGAATGCTTAGTTTTACCAAACTAGCACATTGTTTTCTTTTTGATATTTTACTCCCTTCTTTCCAGTAATTCCTGTAATGGCTCTTTCAGAGGCACTCAGGCCTTCACAATGAAAAAGGGAGCATCTCTAACAGTGAGAAGACTGTGTAAAAACCAGACATTGTGCAAGCCTTCTCTCTCCCCTCCCCCCGCACATCAACCATGCCAAGCCTTTTATTAGTTTCGCCAGTTCAATTTCCTTTCCGCAAGATCATTTAGTGTTTTTCTGAGTAACCCTTTTTTCATTTGGATGCTTAGCACCATAAAACAGGGATAAACATGCCTTGTTGCAAAGTTATCTGTTAGATTATCGCTAGTTTAGAACCTAGAGAAAAAGATATAGGACAAATGGTTCAATGACTTAGGTTAGGTTGTCCTAAGGGCTGTGATTCAGCCTTTGCTCCACAACAGTGCTGGGGAACCTGCAGCTATGTTTGATCCAGCCTGTGGATCAAACAGGGCTCAGCAGACCTCCTCATTTGGGTGAAAACTGTGCTCACCTGCCTGACAGCTGATGTCATACTTGATGTCAGGGGTGGGTATGGTGAGGGCTTCAAAGGAACAATCAGAAGTTTTAAGTGGGTTTTCCAAAAGGCTTTCCAATAGGCCACACTGAGCTCTGAAGTCCTAACAATTAGGGCACTAAAGCAAAACATCTCCTGATAATCACAGTGGTGTCAAGTGATTGACTTGTTGGAGCCCCCACCCACCTATCAAATTTGGCCTGTCAAGGGCTGGGGAGATAAAAGATCCAGCCTGCTGGCCAGAAATGTTTCCCCCCACCCTGTTCCATAACAAACTTCCCATGTGACCTTGGATGGGTCACTAAGTTTCTATGATTCATTCCAATACTCTTTAAGTAAGGATGACAGTTTTTCTGCACATCATGGGATGGGGCTGAGATATCCAGATGCTGCGTGGGAGTTTGTGTGTTGCAGCTGCTCACATACCATTCCGGCAACATTAAAAAACAAAAGATTATTTGGGTAGTGTTGGCAGTGTGGGTGTTGCAGCATAGGGCCAGAGAACAACAAGAGGGCAAGAGATAATTTCATTCAGTTTCAACAGAATTTGCCTCTTGCATTTATATACCAACTTTCTGCCATAGTACTCAACAAACATTTTAAGCTGGATATGCGAAGAAAGTTTCTAATGTAGGAAGAGCTGAACAGTAGCGCATACGTTAATGGAGAATTGAAAGGAAAGTCTAGACAGACAACTGTCAATATTGTTATTTTAACCTTATGTTTCCAGGTCATCCAGAGTCTGCCTGTACTTGCTTAGATGAAGATGCTTAGGATATGCACTGTGGATAGTAATACATTAATTTAATCAGCTGCCATCCATAAGGATATTTTGAAGGCTTTTCAATAATGTGCCCTTAGGGATTTTGGAGGACATGTAACACCAATGCTGACTAAATATTCTAGAGACAAATGTTCCTATGAGTGGGCTGGATTCTGCATACTTGGAGAAGTTATTGAGTGAGTCACATTTGTAGGAATTAATCTATACAAATGGGTTAGGTGTGCATAACAAAAAAAGCCTCATTATATCCCACATGTTAAGAATTATCATTTGTTACTACAGGATTGTATGTCTTCAGATGAAATATCAAATAATACCTTTTTAAAAAAAAAAATCTATGATAATTCTATTCTTGTCATTCAGTGTGTTCTTTGAACCCAGTTTCCCCCCCTTGAAGCATGTTTCAAGTCCCTGACCTCTTCTCCATCCTTATAATGCAGTGGTACCTCTGGTTAAGAACTTAATTCGTTCCAGAGGTCTGTTCTTAACCTGAAACTGTTCTTAACCTGAAGCACCACTTTAGCTAATGGGGCCTCCCGCTGCCGCTGTGCCGCTGCCACCCGATTTCTGTTCTCATCCTGAAGTAAAGTTCTTAACCCGAGGTACTATTTCTGAGTTAGTGGAGTTGGTAACCTGAAGTGTCTGTAACCTGAAGCATCTGTAACCCAAGGTACCACTGTAATGTGTTTATTAAGAGAGAGTTGCAGTTAAATGCTAAAGCATTTTCACGAGGATTTTTAAAAGGAAAATTTGCAAGTTGCTACAGAAATGTGGAGAACCAGATTTAAGGATTAAGAGAGAGAGAGGGAGGGAGGGAGAGAGGGAGGGAGAGAACTGAAATAAACAGCTCCTTTCAAACCTACTCAGGGGTTGGTGAGAGTAATGCCTCTAAATTTACAATACCATAATCCAGTGATGGGAGAAAAGAGAGTTGCCAGAGTGGTGGTGGCGGCGGCAGAGGGAGGCAGAGGTATGCTGTGCCTGATAGTATACAGGGGGAATGATTTTACTTGGAGAGAAAAAAGAAAAAAACCACTGCGGCTTATAATTTTATAGAAATTTCCTTTAAAAAAAACCCACATTTTTAAGTTGCTGGTAAAAAGCCGGTAGGCCAATATACCTGTGATGTGGCAGGCTTTATTCATTCTGGAAGTGCAATGATGCCTGCAATTTTTTTTCTACTTCTGTCAAGAAAATATATATAGCCATTTTTTCATTTCAAATAGTAGATGGAGGTAGCTGGGAGTAAGGCAGACTTGCATGGTCCTTGAACTAAATCAAGAAGCCTACAAGTACCTCTGGCCATATTGTTCATGTATTTTAATCCACAGATTATTAATTAGACGGCAAGTGTTGCACAATGTGAATTGCTGGTGATACAAGTGCCTGTATCTTTCAGCAGGAAATTGCAGCAGTCTACTTCCTATCCCTGCCTGTTTTCACCGACTCTGTCAGACGTATAGCAGATAGCTCTGTTAACCTATAATGAAGTTCAGTGGTATTCTTTAAGTTTTTGGGTGCTTCCCTGATGGAATGTTTAGAGTAGATCCATTTTAAGTAGTACATCTTAAGGCAGCCCTGTTCAGGGAAGTTTTTAATCTGTGATATTTTAGTGTATTTTTGGTTTCTATGGAAGCCGCCCAGAGTGGCTGGGGAAACCCAGCCAGATGGGCGGGGTACAAATAATAAATTATTATTATTATTATTATTTCTTGATCCAGACCAGTTCCTGGCCTCTGAGTTCAACACCTCATACCTAACCTTTGTCAGGAACTGAACCACAAATGTGTGTCCCTTTATCCAAGTCAGTGGATAACACTGCTGTAGTCCTAGAGAGGACATTTTTGAGTCTTGCTTCTTCTCATACCAAATGCTGCCTGTTGCTTGCTTACCCACACTACGCTTTATTATACTGATCATCATCATCTTATTTATTGTTGTTTTTGTTTATTTATGTTTATTATATCGATATTCCACCTTTCTCAAAGCAGCCTACATAGAGTTCTTGAGCAACCTTCCCATTTTAAGGCGGATATGACTCTGCTTAGATACATCAAAGTAGCTGTACTGAGTCCTAAAGACCATACCCTAGAATCTAACTCCTCTTTACACCTGGTCATAGAAAACATGGGCACAATTCAACCAACACTAATCATTTTACAATCCTACTGACAGAAGACACATAAGCAATGGGATTTTAAAAGCATTTGATTCCCCGTTTGTATCTCTTGACATGACCCTAACAGCTGTGGCATTCAGAAGGAGAAAGCAGTGCTCAAACATTAAGGCTACAATTCTATGCCAATGCACCAGGGATGAAACCCAATTGAACTCAGTGGGACTTACTTTTGACTAGACAGGCATAGGTTTGCTCTGTTTGCTGTCTCCAAGAGTTCGGGAAGTTTGTGGCAATAAATTCATATTTGACACAGCTAATTTTTATTTATTTATTTATTTATCCATTCATTAATTTATAAAAGTATGTACCACTCTGTTACAAAATATCAGGTACACAGCAATATAAAACCATTAAAAGCAGTATGGTGGTTTTCCTTACCTTCAGATTATTACATTAGTGTTTTTTCCTTCTTTCGGGTATTAAAGGGTTTTTTTTTAATCCCATTGCCATACACTTGTTAGTGAAAAACATTTAGAAAGCGGAATAATTCATAATTTTCTTTGTAAACAAATGAGTGTGTGATTTTTGGAGAAGCCTAGGTCTCCCAAAAAGAAATATTAAATAGATTTTTTGTTTCTTTACCTAGCAGTGTAAGGGAGGACCTGGTGTGGTGTGATAGAAAAAGGGTCATATCCTTTGTGGTGTACCACATTCAATTAATATGACAAGCTTTGTGATCCTGTCAGTTTTCACAGAGGGTGGGACCAGTGTTTGCTTCCCCACTCCTCTCTTTTTGTCCAAATTTTCACAGAGTATCGCACTGAAAAAGAATGATGGATTTCCGTCCTAGAGGACTGCATGGGCTGATAAAGTGAAATCTATGGCAGAAAACAACTTGTTTTTTCCACCCTTTAGGCCATAATTTTAGTTGAGAGAGAGAGAAAGTGTAATAAATTTTGGCGGGAAAAATAACCAAACTATTTTGGACATTTCTAATGACTAGTGTGTATAAACACTACTGAGAAATGGTGGTGAGAACAATTTGACTGAGGGAATGATTATTTTTCTTGCATCAAAGCCTAGGTATTTGTCAAGTCAGGTCTTTTGAAATTGTCTGAAACTCAGTAAAAGGAGGAAGCAGACACACACACACACACACACCACTTTTGGACAAGACTTGAAGTCTCTCATATTTAAACCTCATTTATTTCTATTAATCAGTGAAAATAATGAATACATTCACTACTTACTGAAGCTATCTATTGCAATTAAGCTCGCATCCTAAAATATAGGCAAAACAAAACAAAATGTCTGATTTAATTGCTCAAAACAGGTCCTGTTCTGGAACTAAGGCCTAGTCCAGAGACTCAGAATGTGGGGGCATAATTATAAGACCGTGGGGTGGATTTGATGCTTCAGACTTTCATCTTAATAATCTCACATAAAAAACCCTGTAAGCAAAAAAACTAGGGTATCATGCATGAAATTCTAGCCCAGCATGATCCCTGCGATGCTTTTTGCTGTCTCTGTGCCATCGGCAGCCAATGTGCTTTCCTCTCATATCTATTTGTAAGATCAGAAATCACTTGTGGTTGATGTGCAATCTATGCTGCTAATTCCAAAGATCATTTAGCAACCATCTTGGCTACCACTCAGTCTAAACTACTGCTGAGAGTGAAGGCTAATTCTGCAGCTGTTAGGGAATCACTTGTACTTATGTTCAGAGGGTAAAGTAAAAACAGAAAGCATACAGGAAATTTACTAAGCAAAGCACATGCCCAATACATGTGCTTATCAGACAGTACAGCAAATAGATGAGAAGATCACAAATGATGCTGCAAGATGTAAAAATATGAACTAATGAAAGTAAGGGGCACAGAATATTTCCCGCTTTTATGGGAACTGTACCCCAGTAGGACCAAGATCAACTGAGGAGGGAAAATGTTTGAGCTCCTCACAATTTTAATGGTTCTCACTCAGTTCTGTCACCTCTCAGGTGGGCACCAAGAGAACAAGGGAGGTGTTCATGGCTGAGTTCTGACACCTCTTTTTCTAGAAAAATAGCACTGGTTCTCACACAAGGCAGATTTCCAGCCAATTTTGCACTTGGAATCTATTTTTAGTATGCATTCTCTACGTTGGAACACAGGATTGGTCTGGTATATAATAAAATGATTATACTTAATTTTGTAGAAGAACTGTTATGCCTGCTTATGCTAATGGAGAATGAAGGCCCTAATACATGCCGTTTCAAATTTGTTTAAACTTTATCTACTCATTTATGGCTCTTTTCCTGTCAGAGTTCAAGAACAGGCTGACTATACACTACTATGTCAAGTAGAGCACTACAGGGTTCAGTCTTTATTACATTCCAAATGAATAAAATTTCCTCAATAAAGCCTTCCTGTCCTGTAGATAAAAGAGCAAATAAACATTTGGATGGGCAAAAAATAAAATAAAATAAATGAAGCCAACTACACTCAGGAAGACCCCTTGTTATTCTACGAATATTGCTTCCTTTGCTTGTTAGCAACCCAAAGGAAATGAGTTGGGGAAGATTAAGCAGTTTCTCAGTCCCCAGCCTTGCTACTAAAAGATGTTTCAGAAAAAGAAAAGGTGTGTGACTCACCTAGCTCATAATGATCTGGTTGAGCTACACTATCCTCTCCTGCCAGTAAAATGTTGCTTAAAACCTTTGTAGTCACAGAGTCAAAGAAAAGCTTTTATAGCATTCTTCTCCCCTATGTTCACCCCATTTCTAATCCATAAGGGAGCGATGCTGCAAAGTGGCTTGTTGTGACAAAGCAGCTTGCAACCCTTCCGCATTCCTTTGCATGCTTATTAATACAAATAACTGGTGACTCATTTTGACACTCCTGAGGCGGCCAAGGAGTTTGCAACGCTTGTGTGCACTCTCTCTCACACACAAACACACACACACGCATAAACAACCATGCCAACCACCACCAGCATGAAATAGCTAAGAATTCAATTTATAAAATTGCATTTATTATAACAGGCATTTTTTGTCAGGAGTACTGCTAGAATAAGAATAACATTCTTATCATATTGTATCACTCTTATCTCGGAATGCTACTGAGGAAACTTCCTGACAGCCTATTTCTTTCACAAGTTAACTTGCTTACTAATAAGGATTTATCACAATCAAAACATCTGTTTTGAGGATAGTAGAGCTAGCAGAAAACTTCAGTCAGTATTTGTATAGGACATTGTTCCACAGGTTGCTTTATTATTCCGCACCTCTGGATGGTTCTGAAAGCATCTGCAACAAATGATATCTTAATACAGAAAGCAACACAGCTTTCCATGCAATAAACAAATGCATCGAATTTGCTTCATTCTACTCACTGTGCAGTGACTTTTAACACAGTGGGAAGTTAAGTTCCTTTTCTATTTTTAAAATGTCTTAAATGAGTGATTCCAACAACCTGATATTATTCATGCTCATTCAGATGTAAGCCCCACTAATTTTAATGGGATTTATTCCTAGATAAAAATGCATATGCGAATTGTAGCCCTAGGCTTCTTCCATTATTTGGACTGGTACATAAATGGAGCAACAGCTCAACTTTGTTCCTTATTCATATTAGTCTGTGATGCATACAGTGTGCTATTGGCTATTTAAATAAGTGCTGTTCCAAAGCACTGACTCCACCAGCACAGCTAAACTCTCCTTTGGTGGTTTGTGCTTCTGCTTGTTGCATGCAATTTGTATGATTTGTAACAGTCACATTCACAAAACAGAGCACTGTTGATTATGTACTGGTGACTTGAACAACTGAAATGAGTGCTCAGTACAATTGCTCAACAGAATCAAGCTGGTAATGCATTTACATTTCAGATTTTATTAGAATCAGAGAAAATAATCATGGAAAAACATGTGCTCCTAAGAGCTTCTTGAAAAGTGCAAACATGCATTTTCCTGAACATGGATGAGTCAAAAAGTATATTTAAAAGATTGAGTGGCACTTACCTCGCACGAAGCACTGCTGGTAAGAAGGAAATGACTCAAAGAAGCTGTTTGAAGTCATGGTTTCCTCTTTTAAAAACTTATTTTCTTTTTTAAAAGGGGCGATATGTTATTTCTTTTACCTTGAGAAGTAAAAAATCAAGAGTGGTCATTATAACAAACTCCTCTGCCATTGCACTTTGCATGTTTGTATCTGCAAAGTAAAATAAATTCAGTCATAAGAGTCTTTTTCTCTCACACAACCACTGAACTGTTTTGTAAAAGAGAGAGGGAGAGAGAGAGAGAGAAATAGCGGATCACTTGTGGTTTCATGATGCTTACCACTCTATGAAACTCTTGTGGTTTGCAGTCAAAATGATTCGCCCTGCCTGCTGACCAATATCCCGGACCCGCTCTTGTGTGACTGCCTCTGTACCCAACTTGTGGTTCTGTGGTTGTTTATGAGGCCCAAAGAAGTGTTTCACACAACCAATATTACAAATTTAACCGTTCCTCTTTCCACAGCCTCTTTCAATTGGCTCTTGACAATCACATGATTTCAGTGATGTCAACTAAAAAAAAAAAGCATTTTGAGCAATGCTCTTCCCACACCACCTGCCTTCCCCTAGATTCAGCAAAGAAACAGTATGCAGAGAGACAGAGACACAGAAAGAGGCTGAGCCTGACTCACAGTCCTTGTTCTACAAACGGGCTTTGCTGATTAAGGACAACTCTGCCTTGTTTTTGCTTGTGGTTGCTGGAACTACTGATTATTTTCATAGATATTTCATTGCTGCTTATTCAATAGTAATTCAAACCCTGGCATTAGTCTGCTGCTGAAAGAGGATGTATATGGCATCATCTAACATTGGAATCACTTTTCAAAAAGTTCAGCAGGTGGGCAACTGGATTTTTTTTAAAGGCAATAATAAGTCAAAAGAGGATAAAATGGATTAGCTCAACTGTTACCCCTTTAGGACAGCCAGAAAATGTCAGGGATCTTATGAATGAATTAAAGACTGGCATAAACTTTAACGGGTAAGGATTACTGAGCTCTTTGAAAACTAAAGTGCTAGATGAATAATAAAAATTAATAATTGTCATTATCTTGTTATTTTTATTGGGGTAGAACTTTTTTGTAGTTGAACCCTTCAAAATTTGAGTTACCTTCTTGTTTGGAAATTATTCGGCACAAGGTACTGAACTTAGAACTTGATATTCCAAATGTATCTTTCCTTCCCATAGAGCAGAAAAAGAGAATAGTTTATGCCTCACCATGTGCCAATGGTAAATTCTAAAGAAAGAAAAGAACCACTTAAGAACAAAGATGTGATTGTTAGGCCAGCTATTAAGCACCTTAGTCACTGATCCGTACACTTCACTGCAGCCTTTCTCTACTTCAAATGTGAAATCCTAAGGATTTTTCTCACACCTGTAGTAATTTTTAAAGGCCTAACACACAGGAATATTTTAAACCATTAAGCATTTGCCAAGCATTTGGTTATAAAAGAAGCAATGAATCAGTTCAAATAGGAGTGATCCAGCAGGATGCTTCTTGCTTTTTAACTTTCTGCTGAAAATGGCATCCAGAAAAGTGAATTTCATGGGGCCGTGAGAATGATCAAGAGAGTAGATGGTAAGTTGTATATGAGGCAAAACTAAATTAAGGAACCAAGCTACAGATATGAAGATGGAAGAGAGAAGAGACATGGTGACAATTTTAGGACACTTTTTTTTAATAAGGGAAGGAATAGGAAGAATTGCTTGCCTTATCCCCTGACAGCATAGAGGATAAAGCTATCAGTGGCTATTAATTCTGAGACTGGATACTACCTCTGAATTCCAGTAGCTGGAGAATATGAGTGGGTGATAGACTGTAGCTGCAATGGTAGATGGAGAGGTTGGGTTGGGTTGGGGCAGAGGGAGGTGAGGAAGGGTCCACAACAGCCAGGTACAGGGTTTTGAAATTAGACTCTTTTTTGCAATTTCCCATTTTGTTTTTTCCTTCAGTCTGAGATAACATAAAAGAGTCCTCCTGGATCAGCCCAAAAGCCACGTTGTCCCACATTCTGCTCTCACAATGGCCAACCGGGTGCCTGTAGGCGTGCAACTGGGTGCCCCCCAATTATAATTCCATTACTCTGGTTATCACATCATGCTATAAATGCTTGTCACTGCTGAGCTTGTGGCACAGATCCCGTTTCCCAACACTGCAAGAGAAGGTCGTGGAGGTGCGTCATGAGGGAGGAGTTGAGGCCGGGTTCCAGCATTTCTGTTGGGATTCCTTCCTGTCATGGGGCTTTCCCACATGTCTGAGAGTTGATGGTGTTCTTCAGCCCATTGAGGGAGGGAGGGACATCCATGCCTGACTCCAGCAGTGTGGCCCTCTGCAAGAACAAAGGTGGCCACCACAACTGTAGTCTGTCTCAGTGACGTCTACACTGCCTTGGTCATGTTGATAGAATGGAAGATGGCAAGATATCTATGGGTGTACTCTATGGGGCGCTGACTTCAAGCACCAGGCCCGTTGGCAGACCAACTCTGTGTTACAAATATGCCTGCAAACATGATATGAAGGCTGGCAACTTTAACTCCGCCATTTTTTGTTTCCTTGTTTCTATTGTGAATTGATAATTTCCTCACAGAAAAAAGCACACCATTGGAAAGTAGTTAACATCACAATCTTTTTGCTGTCTCTGATTGATAGGGACATCCTTGATTTTAATTCTGTAATGTTTAGCTCTCCAACTAACTCCACTCCCAGGCCTGCTTACACTGAAGTAGATTCCACAGACATTAATATGACTTATTTCCATGAAAGGATGTTTAATACTGGAGATGGTAGTCCTCATTCCTCTTGGAAAGTCCCTGGTAGTCACAACTGTAGCGTCTGGCAAACTGAACTTTAAGGAATTTTTGCTTGTTGGCTTCCCTCATTCTGATTCAACAGTGGCAGGAGGAACAGCTGCTGCCAATATGCTGGCTACAGGAGCCTGGTGGGCAGGGCATTAAAAACTCAGTCTTAACTCATCTCTTAATAACAACAAGCCACTTTCCAATTGCTAGTTCCCCTCCTTCTCAATGTTCTCTTCTCTAAGCTTTAGGTACACCCAAATTATTTAGTGTACCCACTGAGTGGCAGACACATATGCTGTATTTCATGTCATGGTTATATATGCTTTGATAACTTCCAGTGTGCAATACTGTCACTACTGGACTACTGTCTACATCAGCCTGCCCTTGAAAAGTATCTACCAACTTCCATTTATTCTTCATGCTTTTGTTACGGTATCGACTAAAGCCAGCAGGACAAAACATAAATGTCCAGTTTTGAACCATCTTAATCAGTTCCTATTCATTTATGGACCCAATTCAAGGTGCTGATTTTTACTTTTAAACCCCTAAATGGCCCAGGAACTGGTTACCTTGAGGAAGATTTAAGTTTTAAGGCACTTAGGGGTAAGATAAGGATAAATAAATTAAGGTAATCTGAATAATAGAATATGGGGAAAGATGGTAAGGATTTGTTGAGCTAATTACTAGGTTAAATTGTTAAGACAAATTTTATAACAAAAATTGAGAAAGATGGAAAGAATTTGCTGAAATAATTACTAAACTAGAATACAAAAACGGAGGTGTGAGGAGGTCAATGAAACAAGCAAATGGAAATTATGGATATGCAATTTGGGATTTGTGTTTTTTCCCCCTCTTTTTTCTTCTTTTTTACTTTTTTATTGCTGTATTGTTATATCGGTTTTCTCATTTTGTGCTTTTCTCCTTTTTTATTGTCTTCTTCTTCTTTTTTCTTTTTTGTATTGTAGCGTTGTTTGTCATTTTTCATTTTTCTTGTAATTTTGAAATTATCAATAAATATTATTTTTTTAAAAAAGAAGAAAAAGAAGAAGAAAAAAGAACTCTGGGCTACTTCAGAAATCCTGCTTTATGTCCCTTGACCAATTGAGAACACGGGAGATGGGGCCTTCTCCCCCTCCCTGAATTTTATTAAAGTTTGAAGAAAATATACAAAGCATAATATCAAATATTATCAAAGACAGAAAACTAATCTAAATAAAAACACAGACTAAAAGGAGGAAAAGAAAAAAGAAAAAAAAGAGGAAAGAGGAAAGAAGAAAGGAAGGAAGGAAGGAAGGAAGGAAGGAAGGGAAAGAGAACTTCCATTTTTTATTCTGCCAGCTATGGATAGAAAATTATTCAAAACAGCCCCTCCAATATAACACCCAACAATTCCACTTTCTATAAACAAATATTTTATTCATTTCTTAAGGAGTTTCCAATCTTTAATAAATCTGGACAATTATGGAAGATGGGGCCTTCTTAGCCATGGAACCATAATTGTTGATTTACTACTAGGTAAAAATGTGTCTGCTCTGGGACACTGATTGTATTTTGACTTTGTTTTAATTTCTGTACTGCTGATAGAGATGGAAACATAGATATTTGCTGATTGCTACTTTTATTTAATGAGATTTTTGCTCTTGTTTTTTGTTGATTTTTAAAAAAAGATTTTCATAATTTTCTGACAAAGGAAGAAAATTTTGCAGGCCAAAACACCTGGAGGGCACCTGGTTGAAAAAGGGGGTGTCAACCCATCAAGAAAAGGCCTTTCTCCGTGTTCCCTCAAGGGGCTTTCTTGTTTCTCACTGCCAACCTATGGATTTCATTACTTTTGAGCTTCTTTTGCTCAGCTGCCATTTCAACACATTTTATTTAGGAAAGCCTTTGGAAATATCGCATTGGCTGAGTTTGAGTTCCTGATTTTGATGAGATTTCTTCATGCTGTTGCTAGGCTTGTTTGTTGTTGGGGGCTGGAATGGCTTGGCTTTTAATGTTCTGTTTTGGGTCCGCTTTTAATGAATTCTTGGCGCCACATTGAGGTTTTCCTTAAAATACAGAAGCCACCCACACATTCTCGAAGTAAATAAGATTAGTAGAAGGGCAGCTAAGGATAACAAATGGCAAACTTAAATGAAAAGAGATGTGACAGGCATTGCCCCCTGCCCAGCCTGGGGCCCAGCAAAGTAGATAAATGAATATATATGCTATGTGTGACATTTTAGTGTTTTTCAGCTCAGTCATCTGTCAAGGAATAACTATGGTATGTGTCAAGCAACAGTTGGGTTGATTTTGTCATCTGTGGATGAAGCAAGCCCATCCTTGAATGCTTTTAGCATGCCTCCTGCAGCTTCTCCCCATATCTATCACAGTTATTTGCATTATACATAAATAAAGAATGTGAGAATTGTTGAGCAATTTTTTTAAAAAAACAAACAAAGCCATCAGCAATATTTGCTTTCAAAAGATTGTCACTTTAAACTGAAACAGATTTACATTGCGACACACCTCATTGATTTCTGAGCTTATTTCCAAGTCTATCTGATTAAAATTGTGAGCTAAATGTTTCCATGCTTGTTACATATATCCATGTTCAAATGCGTCTCATTTGGAATTGCAACATCAGTTGCCAATGCACTATGGTATGTGCAAAGAAACGTTGATCCTTAGTGAACTTCTACAAAAGAAAAAGGTGAGTTAAATGATTAACAGTGCAATCCTATGCGTGTTTATGCAGATGCCCTCCTACTCCAATAGGATTGACCAAATTGCAGTCTAGTACAAAATTCAGTTCTACAAACTGTGATCGTATTATGGCACACTTTTTTTAAAAGTTCATTGTCCAATGCATCTGGTCAAAGGTCCACTGATGCTAAAGAATAATTTCCCCACAGTTACTCTAGAGAATATGACCCTATTAGCTGGGGTCATTAGCTGGACCATGAACTCAAGTAATTAGATCTTGACAATGCTAGTGTATGAACATACAACTTGACTGTAGGTTAGATATGAAGTAGTAGTCTACTTTTATACTTTTTAACAGTACAATTCTGTATGTTTACTCAGAAGTCAGTTCCACTAAAGTCAATGGAGCTTTCTCCCTTTTAAATGGGATTAGGATACACGTAGGTAGATACACCTAGGACACTTAGAAGAGACTAGGAGTGGACAAACCTGTCATTTTCAGTTCCTCCTGGTTTCTCATTTTCCTAGTCTTCAGTTTAGTTATCCCCATTTCCACATCAGTTTGCAAATTTATTTTAAAAGTCCTTATGTAAAGGCATTAGCATTTTAGTGTGAATTTCTTCTAGTAGCTATTTTAATGCATTTTTGCCTGATATGCACAATTTTGTAAAGCAATTCCCCCTAATATATGTGTTTCTGCCTTGCAAAATTCAGAAGTTCACAGAATAGCTGCATTTCAGTTTTGTATATTGTTTTAGAAAGTGTGAATTAGGGGTGTTCGCCTTTAACCATGAACCAAATTGATTTTCTGCCTCATTCGTACTACAGAATAAGTATCTTGGATACTCAGTAGAGCTTATGTTTGGATAAACATGCTGTATGGCTACAATCCTATGCACACAGTATCAGGAAATAAATACCATTGAATTCAACAGGATTTACTTTCTGTTAAAGTTGTATGGGATTTGGTAGCATCTTCCATTACTGGTCAAGAGAGGAGCAAATAATAATTTACTTTAGGAGTAAACAAGGGGGATAAATCTGTATGAAACCAATAACATTATTATTAAAACAGTCCTATGTAATGGATGCAGTACTTGTGATCTAGAGTCCAATCCTAAAAAATATATTAAGCTAAAGATTTGCAAAAACTAGCGTAGGGTTCCTAGTAACAGCATGAAGAGACGTATCAACTTCTGGATCTACAGCTGTCTTTGATCAGGGCTGGCACATGATTTTTTGCTGCCTGAGGTGGACAAGGTGACACACCCTCCCCCTTTGACATATAAATGTAAACTGGACTGGCAGTTGAATCTTATTTAATCACTGACTGATGACAAGATAGTGTCCTCCATGGTACCTGAACCAGCAGGCTAGTTTAGCGCCCTAGGCCAGGCTTACTCAATCTCGGCCCTCCAGATGTTTTTGGCCTACAACTCCCATGATCCCTAGCCAGCAGGACCAGTGGCCAGGGATGATGGGAATTGTAGTCTCAAAACATGTGGAGGGCTGAGGTTAAGGAAGCCTGCCCTAGGCCAAGCTGTGTGATATATACTGCTCTGTCCACCAACACAAGTCAATGCTAGATGGCGCAGGAGCTACAGCCAGAAAGCCACCACTGCTGCCTGCCAGCATCTATCACCTGAGGCAATTATTCACTCTACCTAACATTAGGACTGGCTCTGCTGTTGATGGTAGTACAGCCACTTTCATGTACCTTTCTTCCCTTTCCATATTCCATTTTATTGTTATTCATGTTTTTATACTGTATTTTATGCTGCTTTTACAATTAAGTGTTTTAAATTTGTTGTTAGCTGCCCTGAGCCCAGTTTTTTGAACTGGGAAGGGCGGGGTATAAATAAAAATTTATTATTACTATTATCTTATCCTTTGGCTCAGTCCTACATCCCACTCCTGGTGCTTCTGCAGTTTAAACCAAATTGTGGCAACTGGATACTAGACGTGCCAAACGGTGAGTTCAAATGCTTGTTTTCCTTCAAAACCACTATGGGCCTGTAATACAGAAGCAGCTTTGCCACTCCTACAATTAAAACAGCATGCAGTCTGCAAAACAAAAACAAAAACCCACAATCTGCAGAAATCCCCAAGGCATAATGCGGTGAGGTTTTCTGTGGTGTATCTCAGCTTCAGGAAAAGGATTAGTTTGAGGCTTGAGGCACAATGCAAAGAAACTCACCTCCACTCCATCTGCCCCACAAGTGACCAGTTGTACACATATATTGGCTTTCTTTCCTTCATTGATACCAGGGTCTCAGTTTCAATTTCTGCTCCACATAGAATCACTTTAATCTCTTGAGGTCTTCCAGATATACAAAATTTGTTTCTGAGGCAGGAGCCCTTTGCAACAGCCAGCCTACTGGATATGTAATACTTATTGAATAAACCCAGGCAACGCATTGTATTTCCTTGCTTTTAGTGCAAATTCCTCAAACATAGCTTAAACAAGTACACAACAGCATTGAGACAGGATATAACAGAGAGGTGATCTGCACAATTTTAATTAGAAGTGTGAGCAATTTCTGCTTAAGATTGTGCTCTCTTTTGCCATGCCTAATTATTCTGAAGGTCTGTAATCCTATAGAGAGCTGCCTGGGCTCTGAGATCTCCTCCTCCTGTTAAAAGGGCTTGAGGGAGGCTACATGATAGTAGATGCCATAAATTTCTGAGGCCATCATTGCATGACTTCTTCCTTTCACCAAATCTTATATCTATTTAAATTTAATTTATTTAAAAATATTTATAAACAGCTTTATGTTGAATAAAGTGTGGGGGGTGTTACTGGGT